TGGCGTCCTTGGCAGTGTCCTTCCGGGGTGGCACACAGCCAGCCTCATGGATGGCCCATCTCTCCAGGTGAAGCAGAGGGAGAACGGCGTGGCACTGCGCTGCTTCCGGAGCGTGATCCGCGCCCTGGACGCGCTGGCCTGGGAGGAGCGGCAGCTGGCCCTGGTCAAGGGCCTCCTGGCCGGGAACGTCTTCGACTGGGGCGCCAAGGCCGTGTCTGAGTAGGTGTCCCCCTCAGCCCTCCCCATCCGTGCCTCGGTGAGCTAGGTGCGGCCAGGGAACAGGCCCCTTCGGGTGGCACGGCCAGGGCACCTAACTGGGGTCTCCGCTCCACCCACCCCGCCTACCCCCTGAGCTGAGTTTGTTGTGACGCCACACCCTCTTATCACGCTCGGTGTGGATGCGGCCCCAGCTCCGCGCTCTGCCAGGGCTGCGGGCCGCGCTCACGCACCCCCATGGCTGACCATGCTTTCTGCCCCCACCGCAGCGTCCTGGAGTCTGACCCCAATTTTGGGTTTGAAGAAGCAAAGAGGAAGCTGCAAGGTGGGCCGTCCTGGACGCTGTTGGGATCCCGGGGGCGGTGGGGGGACGGGGTGGCCCCACGTTGCCCGGGCACCTGCAGCTGACTCTTCTCTGTCCTCACAGAGCGGCCTTGGCTTGTGGACTCCTACAACGAATGGCTTCAGAGGTCAAAGGTATGTACGAGGGCCTCCCTCCAGTCCAGGCCAGGAGGGCCTCTGGGCCATGGGAGGCAGGGCCAGCAGGGCAGCTCACACAGTACCCTGCTGGTCTCGCACTGCCTGGTTGGCACCGTGGTGTGCGGAGGCCTTTAGGTCAGCCTCACTGGGTGAAGCACCCGAGTCGTGTCCCCCTGGGCCTGCCTCGCCTCCGGGACCCTGAAGCCAGATCCAGCCCTGTGGGTGTGGGTGTCTTGGGGTCCCAGGCCCTGCTGTATGGGTGTAGTGGGGTCACAGGCCACAGTGTGGGTGTGGGTGCAGTGCGGCCCCAGGCCCTGCGTGGCCGTGGAGAAGCCGTGGGGTCTCAAGCGCTCGGCCACACCTGTTCCCGACTGAAGGTCCTGGTTTTCTCTTGCAGGGGCCCCCTCATAAATGTGCCTTAATTTTCGCAGATAACAGTGGAGTAGACCTCATTTTGGGAGTCTTCCCCTTTGTCAGGGAGCTACTCCTTAGAGGGACGGAGGTGAGTGAGCAGGCCTTGGGGGCGGGAGTCCCTGGGGGACCTGGGCTGGCCCCTGAGCTTCCTGGGAACTTGTGGACACTGCTGCCTTCCGGAGGCCAGAGTAGAGGGCCATGGGGCCTCGGCCTTCAGCAGTGGCCCTGGTCACTGGCCCTGGCCTGGCCGTCGAAGAACCCAGGTGCCCGCGGCCCCGTCCGAGCCGGGCAGTCGGATCTGAGAGCCTGGATCTCCCCCACAGGTCATCTTGGCGTGCAACTCGGGCCCTGCCCTCAATGACGTGACCCACAGTGAGTCCCTCCTGGTGGCCGAGCGCATCGCGGCCATGGACCCCCTTGTGTGGTGAGTGGCTGGAGCGGGCGGAGGCGAGTCCAGCCTGCAGGCAGGGCAGTGGGCGGAGAGTCCAGCCTGTGGGCGGTGGGCACAGCGGGCCCTGACTGCCTCGTGCCCCACAGTGCGGCGCTCCAAGAAGAGAGACTAAGGCTGGTGCAGACCGGCTCGAGCTCGCCCTGCCTCGACCTCAGGTAACCCTGCCCTCTCGCCCCGGAGCCCCCTGCCCGCAGCCGCCCGGTTCAGGCTGCCAGGGCCTCCGGCTCAGGCTGGGGGCAACGCAGGAGGTTTCCATCTCTGGCCACATGATGGTTACTTGTCTGCCCCCACCAACTCGAGGAGGGAGGACCAGGTCAGCTCTCCCTGCCGAGGCCGCGTCCTGCTCTGGGGGCTGAGTCCACGCCCCCCTGGGTGTGTGCAGTCACCGGGCGGAGCTGGGGCCCAGTGACTCCATCTGCGTCCTGCGCATGGCACCACTCTAGATCTGAGCTACCACCTGGGGCTGGAAGCCAGAGCTGGGACTCAGCCGTGGCCCAGCCCGAGACCCCCAGTGACCAGCAAGGGGCTCTGAAACCCTGGAGGGAGGTGGTGGGAGCCAGGGCCCGGCGGGGCTGCAGCGGGAGGGGTGCCTGGCTCTCGGGTTGCCTCCACCTCCGCCCACGGGCTGTGGTGCCTGACTGGTCTCCCCGCCCCTGCTCCCCATAGCCGCCTGGACAAGGGGCTGGCCGCGCTGGTACGAGAGCGAGGTGCCGACCTGGTGGTCATTGAGGGCATGGGCCGGGCCGTGCACACCAACTACCACGCCGCCCTACGCTGCGAGAGCCTCAAGCTGGCCGTGGTCAAGAACGCCTGGCTAGCCGCGCGCCTGGGGGGCCAGCTCTTCAGCGTCATCTTCAAGTATGAGGTCCCAGCCGAGTGAGGGCCGCCCCGCCCCCGCCCCGCGTGCGGTCGCCGAGGCGGCAGCGTTGACCTCGGCGTCTGTGACTGCTGGCTCTGGCCCAGGCCACTGCGGGGCCCCGCGGCTCCTGTGCCGGGGGACGCGAACTGTGAAGTCATCTTTTATATAAATATAAATGTGAACACCTGCAGGGCTTCGGTGGGGTGTGGCACCTCGCACTCCATAGGGGGGTTCCCCAGAGTGAGGCGAGTCGCTTGCCAAGGTTGCCGCATGGGCAGCAGAGGTGGGCAAGAGCAGGGCTGGCTCAGGCAGCAGCTCGGCCGTGTACCGGGACCTGGCATCCCTGGAGAACCATGAACCCGCATGCCCCTCGGCTGGGGCTCCCCTCAGCCTCTGTGTCCCAAACCCCCCACCCCCACCCCCCCGGGTTGGGGGCAGGGAAGGAAATAGAAGCCCTGGACAAGGTGAGCGACATGCAGGCCGCCTCCTGTGGCCCCGAGTGGGGAGTGCGGGCTGAGGCGGTGCCCCTATGTGGTCCCTGGTGGGGAGTGAGGGCTGAGGTGGGCCTCTCCTGCGCTTGGCTTCCTGGGGTTACCCAAACCTGCGCTCTCTCTGGGGCAGGGGTACCTGCCCGGTGCAGGAGCTCTGAACTAGAGCTCAAGATGGACCCTCCTGGTCTGACTCCCTGCAGTGTCACTGTGGGGGCAGCTGGTGTCCTACAGGGCCTCGTGCTTGGCCTGGCTCCAGCTGTCCCACAGGGGCCCCGGCAGAAGCCCCACCTGCCAGCCCTGTAACAGCCTAGCCCTCCCAGACCCGTGTGGGTCTGGCCCACACGTCTGGGGTGGGCAGGACATGGGGCTTGGCCCCACTGCCATTGGCTCCCACTGGTGCCAGCTGATGTTTGTGGGCACTACCCAGCAGCTCACAGGGAGGCCCTGGTCCTTGCACGGCCTCACTGCACAGGCTGGCGCCCCCAGCACCCCCAGAGTGTCCAGGCCTGTGGGGGCAGCAGTCAGAGGGCTCCTCTGGGGCAGTGGGTGGGAAGGGTCGGCCTGGTGAGCTGAGCAGCCCACTTAGCACGGGGACCCCTTCCCAAGGGTTCAGCCCAGGGGCTTATCCTGTTGGGCTGGCCTGATACAGGCCACTACCTGACACCTCCGGCCTGGGAGGCAGGCTGGGCACCAGGGGCGGACTCTGGCCCAAAGCCGGGTCTGGGACACAGTGGACAGGGCAGGCCCCAGGGCACGTCGCACTGCCAAGGCTTAAGTCAAAGCAGAAGAGTGGAAAAGGACTTGGTTGTTTTAATGTGAGCTTTGCCTCTAGAAATGTCAGTATTTTCATGTTGCCTAACATTTGTGCGGGTGCCAGTCCCAGCAGCCAACCCTTTCTGAGGGACCTTGCCCTTGGGACCTGACCAGTCCTGGCCACTAGATGCCTTCGGGCCAGCGGGCTCACAGCCGCAGCAGCAGCAGGCCATCGGCCCCTGTGGTCACGGTCAAGGCGTCCACACACCCCCTGAGGCTCACTGAGCAAGCGCCCTCGGGGGTGCCTCGCTCCTCCTCTGGGGGCCCTTTCCAGCCCTGGTCCTGCAGCCGCTGCTGCCGTTCCTGGGCCTGGCGGGCCCGGCTGGCGATGGCACGCACACGGCTCTGGCTGCGGGAGGATGAACGCCGCAGGAAGCCCTGGCCGCCCGTCACCGGGCCAGTGGGCGCCGCGGGGGCCCCACTCTGGTAGTCCGTGAGCCAACGCAGCTGCTCGGTGAGCGGGTCACGCCGTGGCCCCTGTCCCGACACTGGGCACGACCCCTGTGCGGGGCCCAGGCCACGGCTGCCCTCAGAGGGGGGCGCGAAGTCATCAGCAGTCAGGTCGCCCAGGCTCTTGGACTTGGCAGCCACGGGGCACTCCTGCCAGCCCAGCAGGGCCGCGGGCCGGGACCGCAGCTCGGCACAGCCCTGGGGCCCAGCAGCCCATAGGTTAGGGTTGGATTTGCTCTTGGTCACTGGAGGTGGGCCCAGGCGGGCAGCCGAGGTGGAGCGGTGCCGGGGGCCCAGGCTGGACAAGGCCAGGTCGATGACTGTGTCGCCAGATGACACGCTGGAGGCGGAGGACATGCTGTCGCGGTGGCTGCCTGGCTCCAGCCGCTGCCAGAGCCGGTCAGGGCCTGTGGCATCCAAGTACATGGCAGGGGCCGTGGAGGACCCGGCCAGGGACTCCGAGGTCACCTGCCCGTCACTCTTGGTCCTTCTGACAGGGGGCCGCTGGCCCAGGGCCCGGGAGCGGCCTCTGCTCTCACTCTCATCGGCTCCACGAGGGCGCTGGCTGGGGCATGGCTCTCTGGGGGCCTGCTCCGGACCTCCCTGGCCCCCACTCCTGAGGGGCACCGCAGCTGCTGGGGGACGCCAGGGTCCCTTCTGGGAGGGGACAGCACAGCTGGTGGCTGGCAGGGTGGGCTCCTCCTGGATGGGTTCCAGGCTGCACGGTGGGCAGGTGGAGCTTGGCGTGCGGACCGGGAGGGCATCTGTAGGGAGGAGGGCAGGCAGGCAAATCAGAGAAGGCCAGCAGTCCACAGCGCCGAGGCCGAGTGAGGGACCCGGCCCCCGGGCAGGACCCTCCAGAGGCAGGATGGGGCCTGTTACCTGACTGTTACGGGCCTCAGTTCCTAACTACGGAGGCAGCATGGGGGCAGGACAGAAAGGAGAGCAGGTCAGTGGGGGGGAGGCCTGGCGACGGGCGGACGGGCAGGGAGGCCAGCAGGGAGCAGGAGCAGGGCCAGGCTCACGCACCTCCCCCAGCCACGCCCACCTGGCGGCTGCAGCCACCCACAGGCCCAGGAGGGGCGTCAGTGACCATGGGGCAGCCGGCTGAGGTGCCAGGCCTCGCTCGAAGGACACACTCACACGGCAGGAGGAGGGGTGCAGAGGCCACAGCTGGAGGCGGACAAGCGGGCACATGCAGGAGGCGGGCGGGCAGGCCAGCCTTACCCGCGGGGAGCCCGGAGCAGCCACTCCCACCTTCCTCCAGCTGTGGACCGGACCAGGCGCTCGGCTCTCCCCGCGGGGACCCTGGGGGCACCTGGGCGCTGCCGCCTGGGCCCCGCCCTGGTTCCAATCCGCTTCTTCCTGGGCCATGGCCAGGAGCCCCCAGTGAGTCTGCCTGGGCTCGGGGCTGCTGGCTGACAGGTGCCAGCCCATCAATGGGCCCCTGGCTGGGCAGCCGCTCCCTGCTCAGGCCCTCGGCGTCCACACCAGCACAGGAGCCCACCACACACTTCATGCATGTGGCGGCCATGTCAGCAGGCCCAGGGCCATCGGAGGCCCGTGGGGATTGCCCCACCATGGGGGGCCTCTCTGCTGCTACTGCTGGTGCCTTACCTCGGGGACAGTCCCCACCGCCAGCAGGCCCCTGGTGAGCTGCGCCCTCCAGGGTAGGCCTGGGGCTAGGGGCCGCTGCGTTGTCCACCTGCTGGGCACCCGCGTCCTGCGCGCCCAGGACCAGCTCTGGGGAGTCCCTACGCGGTTTCTGGGTCTTGGTGGGGGCGCTGGCCGTGCGCCGCAGCAGCCGCTGGCTAACGGAGGGCCTGGTCAGGGGCCGCCCAGCAGCATGACTGTCCAGTGAGCCGGGTTTTGGGCCGCGCAGGAAAAGACCTTTTAGGCCCAGAGCCTGCTTTACCTGCAAAGGAAGGGGCACACATAACCAAAGGGGCCCGGGGCTGCGGGCAGGCCGGGGCAGCTGGGCCACCGGGCAGAAGCCCTACGCTGTGACCAAGAACCAGTGGGCAGGCAGCCGGGATAGGTGAGGGACCAGGGGACTCACTCTGATCCACCTGGCCCAGGCCCTCCCCGCACCTGCTCCGAGGCCGGCGTGCGGAGAAAGTCAGACAAGGACCTGTCCAGGAGAACCCAGCTCGAGATCTGTGTGCCCCGAGGCCCTGAAGGCTGCCTTCCTCCAGGAAGTCCTCCTGGACGCCCCTGCTCTGCTCACAGGAGCCCCTGTGGCCAGGGCACAGCTCCCTGCCAGGAGCCGCCCACCAGGGCCAACCAGGACCCTCACATGCATCCCGCAGAGCCCCTGGCCACACCCGCCAACCGCTCCCCATCATGGCTGAGCCGTGCAGAGTGGCCGGCCTGGCGGCCAGGGCCCACTTCCGGGCAGTGGCGCAAAGGTGGCTGGCGCTTGAATCAGTTCGTCCTGATTCAAGGTTCCGAGTCCAGTGTGGCTTGGTGGATGCAGGCCGGGCGGCCATTTAGAAGAAGGTCCAGGATTCAGGCTTGGAGTCCTGGCGCCAGGGGGGCAGCATGCCCCACATGGACGCAGACAGGGCAGGGTCGGGGCCTGGGGAATCCTGGATCTGCCTCAAAAGCCCCCAGGCGGAGATGGCCCCGGAGCCCAGGAGCTCACAGCCTCCAAATGCTACGCCAACCCCGGGTGCCGGGGCGCGGCCGAGCATGCGGGGTACCTGCATGGCTCCTAAACTGGACTTTGGACTTAGGGGGGCGCTCACTGCAAGAGCAAAGAGACACAGCAGAGGCCAGTGAGGCACCCTGCCACTGCCGGCCCCGCTGCGCCGGGCAGGCTGGACCTGAGCGGGCAGGGGGCAGCCGGGTCCCGCAGCTGGGGACCTCAGAGGCCTGCCCTGGCCCAGGTCGAGGGGCGCGGCCAGTGGGGGTACCTGGGGAGGACCCAGGAGCCACTGCTGTGCACCACGCAGCCACCCCCACCCACCCCCAAAGCTGGGCAGACCCCTGAAGGGAGCAGGCACCCAGCGCCCAGGCAGGGACACCTCAGGGCAGGGGCACTGGGCCCTGAGTCCAGCCTCGGGTGCCTGAAAGGGGACGTGGAGGCCACTGACCGCCCACCCAGCAGCACTGCACCACGGCGGGGAGCTGACCCCGCCCAGGGACCCCACATCACACTCACCTTACCGCTGATGTCACTGACAGCCACGTGCACAAAGATGGAGGCCTCCTCCATCCCCTCCAGGTACACGTGCCGGTAGCCTGGGGGAGCAGGCGCCAGGCTCGGGGTCTGCAGGCTCCCACCCCTACGCTCCTGAGGGCATCCGGGCCTGCCTCCCTGTTCCAGGAAGCCCTCTTGCTGCCCTGGCCCTGCCACTTCCTCCTCGGGTGGCGGCCCATCCCTGGGGCCTTGCGGAGCCCACCCACCTGGCATGAGGCTGCTGAACGCCAGCGTCCTCTGACCGATGAAGTCACGCCCAATGGGGTCGTGGTCCCAGACCAGGAAGCGGACCAGGGCAATCTCGGGCATGTGCACGGTGAACACGAGTGTCTCCTCCCACAGTGGGTTGAAACCTGGGAGCCACGGGGAGCAGGGTCACGGCCGGCCAGCCGGGCCGCCCCCACCCCCTGCCCCGGCCCTCACCGTTGTCGTCCACCACGCGGGTCTGCTCCTTGTTGCAGTCCACCGGGAGCCCGATGACCTCAACCTCCACGAAGGGATCTATGATCTGGGGGGGCAGGCGGTGAGGGTGGGGCCCTGCTGGCTGCCCCCCCCCCGGCCAGCCAGCCTTACCTCCCCGCGGTCCCCCAGCACCGAGTCCCGCGGCTTGGGGAGCTGCTGGCCACTGATGATGCGCAGTGCCAGCTGCTTCTTGAGCCGCCCAGGCAGGGGGTCCTCAGAGTTGGGGTTGAAGACACCTGGGTGGGGGTGGCATGAGGTTCAGGTGGACATGTGCAGGCTGGCTGTGGGCATGTCCTGGCAGTACAACCCGGGCCAAGGGCTGTGAGGGATCAGCGGGGCAGCTGGGGTGCCTGGCCTCCAAGGGCAGGCGGGGGACCTGTGGAGGGTGTAAGCCACTGAGGCGCCCCGGCCCGCCACCCGCTATCATTGCGGGCCCCTGGGCACCTCACCCTGGCACATGCAGGGGGGCTTGAGCACATAGCCACAGTTGCCGTTGGCACTGAACTTGGCCCGGTTCAGCTGCAGCATCCGCCCCTCAGACTGGTAGTTCAGTGCCACTGCGGGGAGGGGTGCAAGGTAGCCTGGTCAGCCAGGGCTGTCCCCACTGGGGCGGGCCCAGGGCCAGGCTGGCCACCTACCCATCTGGCAGCCGGCGTTCCAAAAAGGCTGTGGGTTGAAGTTGCTGGAGTCGACGCGGTAGGACGAGGGGTAGACGCGGGAGAGCTGGCGCTGGTTGAAGCGCAGGTACTGGGCCGGCTTCTGCTGCAGGATCTGCTGCGCTTTGGTCTCGCTGAAGGAGGACACCTGCCAGCTGGACGCCACTGGGGCGCGCACGCAGCGTCAGGCGCCGCCCGGGCCCGCGCCTGCTCCCAGCCGGCCCGCCGCTGCCTCCGCCCGGGCTCCCCGCCTCACCCTGCATCTCCACGTCGTGGGCGCCCACGGACTTGGTGTACTTGACCAGGTCCGAGAGCGCCCGCGACAGCTTCATGGTCTTCTTCTGCTTCGTTGTCCTGCGGGCAGGGGGCGGTGTCTGGGCAGGGCACCCCACAGGTCACCCAAGGGGTGGGGGGCGGGAACGGGAGCAGGTGCACGGGGCTGAGCGCAGGCCTGGAATCCAGGGGCCTCCGACAGGCACCCCTGGGGGGCAGCAGATTCCCCCGCCCCACGCTCACTGACCCTCGGCTCTGGCTGCCCGCAGAGTCCAGATCGCCGTCGCCCTCCTCCACGCTGGCCACCTTCTTACTGCCCCTTTTCTGTACAGGCAGGCCGAGTCGTAAGCCCTGGAGACCCAGCTCAGAGCTGGGCCCGAGGAGTGGCCACGGCCCCGGGCAGACCCTGCCCCGGCTGGCACCACAAAGGTCCCGGTGCGGCCCTGGGGGCTGCAGGAGCTTCCCGTTCCAGGCTCCGGACCTGGCACTGACCTTGTACCAGGAGAAGCTGCTGCCAAGAAGGCGGGCGCTCTGCCTGCCCGCTCTGCCGTCCTCCTCTGCCTCAGCGTCCTCCTCCGCCTTGCCCTGAGCCTGAGGGAGAAACAGAGGGTACGGGTGGACCCTGCCTGCAGCCCAGGGGAGTGGGGGTCTCAGTGCCCCCCATACCCATGGATGTTGCAAAGCTGCCATGAGCAGCCCACGGTGGCTCTGACAACACGGACAACAGACCCTGCGGCCTCAGCCCTGGTGCCAGCCGCCTGGACCGCTGGGCCCGCACACTGCCCGGTCACTGGCAGCTGGAGCCCAGGACTAGAAAGGGCTTGGGCCGTGTGTGCTCTGCCAAGTCACCCACGCTTTGCCCAGCCCAGGTCCTGAGGAGTCAGGCCGACTGGGGCCTGCTGTGGCTGGGTGAGGCGGCAGGCGAGCCCCAGCCCCGAGGCCCAGCCCGCCACGCCCTGCAGTTTTAACCATGGGAACCCGGCAGAGGCCAGAGCCGGCAGATGGACAGCACGCAGGGCCCCAGGGTCTCGCGTTTTCGTCCACGTGTGTGAGCAGAACTACGTGCACGTGGGGCAGTGGGTCCTGCGCGCTGGCACGCCCGACCAGGTGGAGGTGGAGAAGCAGCTGGCGCAGGCCTCACCTTCTTGGCTTCCGCTCTGGCGAGCGTGGTGGAGATGGAGAGGTCGTCGGGGTCCTCGCGGTCCCGGATCCTGGACTCCTTCATAAGGGAGTCCAATTTCCTCTTGGCCATATTCTCCACGCGTTTCCGGTTGATGGAAGCCTGAGGAAGCCAGCGACGCCCGTGAGGGGCGGCTGGGGCAGCCTGCAACCCCCGAGCTGCCCGCAGCGTCCAGCGGAGAAGGAGCTGTGTCCCGAGCCTCCAGGGCTGAGCGCTGCCTGGGGCAGGGATCGGGACCCCAGCCGGGAGCGCCTCCTGCTGGCAGCCACGGGGAACCCGCAGGCCTGGGCGTCAGGCTGGAGTGGCCATGAGTGAACGCCGCAGCCATGTTTGCCCGTGCAGACCTGGGGCCAGGGGAGGCCGCGGCCGGGGGACTATTCCAGGACTGCCTGGGCCCCACAGGGGCTCCCCGGCTCAGCTGCCATGGTCAAACCACAGTGGCACTGGCACAGGGCTGGGAGGGCCTTCCCACGGCAGCTCTTGGGGGGAGAGTGACCTTGTCGGGGCGCTCCTCGGCATGAAGTACAGGGGCAGTGGGGCAGGACCCCGTCTGTGGCTGCTTGGAAATGATGCCAGAGAACAGAGGCTCCAGGCTGCAGCCGGCAGGCACTGAGCCTGGGCAGTCTCAACCCAGCACACTGCCCCGACTCCAAGGAGCCAGCTGGACCACAGGCCCCAGAGGCCCAGGCTGGTCAGCAGCTGGGGAGCGGCGGCCAGCGGGTGGCCCGGCCCGGGCAGGACGCGGCCCGGCCCCGCTCACAGGCGCAGGACACGGCCCCACTCACAGGCGCAGGACACGGCCCGGCCCCGCTCACAGGCGCAGGACACGGCCTCGCTCACAGGCGCAGGACGCAGCCCGGCCCCGCTCACAGGCGCAGGACACGGCCCCACTCACAGGCGCAGGACACGGCCCGGCCCCGCTCACAGGCGCAGGACACGGCCCCGCTCACAGGCGCAGGACGCAGCCCGGCCCCGCTCACAGGCGCAGGACGCAGCCCGGCCCCGCTCACAGGCGCAGGACAAGGCCTCGCTCACAGGCGCAGGACGCAGCCCGGCCCCGCTCACAGGCGCAGGACGCAGCCCGGCCCCGCTCACAGGCGCAGGACACGGCCCCGCTCACAGGCGCAGGACACGGCCCCACTCACAGGTGCAGGACACGGCCCCACTCACAGGTGCAGGACACGGCCCCGCTCACAGGCCCCGCCCCCACTCACGTCGCCATCCAGCAGCTTGCAGTCGTCCTCCATGTCGTCCGCGCTGTCCTCGTCTGACACCTCGCCCTCCTCTGCATCCTCGCCGATGCTGGCTGGGAGCTTCTTCCCCTGGGCCGGGGGGAGGGTGGCACAGGAGTGGGGGAGGGGCTCCAGGGGATGGGACAGGTGGGGTGGCGTGGGGGGGCGCTCCCCACAGCTCCGACGCCGAGTGCGAAGTGGCCATCCTGCCGGGCTTGCCCCGACCCCGCCTCACCTTCACCAGGATCTTGCCTTTGAGCATCTGCGGAGACGGGAGCACCATGGCCTCCTCGCCCACAGAGGACAGGTCCAGCTTGTCCCCGAGGATCTCAGTCAGGTACTGGGCCATCTTCCTCTGCTGGGCCACACTGCAGTGGTTCTCAATGGACAGGATCACCGGGTACCTGCCACCACCAGGCAAGACCCACAGGGTGAGGCTGGGCAGGGCAGGGCAGGGCTGGGCTGGGCAGGGCTGGGCTGGGCAGGGCTGGGCAGGGCTGGGCTGGGCAGGGCTGGGCAGGGCTGGGCTGGGCAGGGCTGAACAGGACAGGGCAGGGCCGGGCCGGGCTGAACAGGAGGCTTGGGGGAGATTGCTGGCTGTCTTGGTAGGAGGTCCCCAAGGTTTGAAAAGCACCTGGCCGAGGGCCATGGTTGTGTGTAGCAGGCCTAGCTACTATCTGGAACGCCAGCACCCCATACAGGTTCAGGTTCAAGTCCTGGCTCCCTGCTAAGGCGCCTGGGAAAGTAGTGGAGGACGGCCAGGCGCCTGGGGCCCTGCCCCCAGGAGGGGGTCCAGGCTGGAGCTCAGGGCTGCTGGTGGCCGGCGCAGCTCTGGCGGTCACAACCATATGGGGAGTGACCTAGCAGATGGCAGGTCTCCCCCTGCGTCTCTGTGTAACTGCCTCTCACATAGGTAAGTCTATAAACCAATGGTAAACGTTTGAGAGCTGAGTGGTGGGAGAGGAGGCCTTACGGGGGCAGCTGAGACGCTGTGGGATCAATATATAGCAGGAAAAACCAGAGGTGACCAGGAATGCCAGGAAAACCGCCTGGACTAAGCTGAGGTGCGGCATGGAGTCACGGACGACCCCTCCGACCCCGACCTGCAGGAGGCCCTGCCCCCTTCCGGCCCCAGGAGGAGCCTGGCCACACACCCAGCTCGACATCAGAGGGCAGAGCCCTCCTCTCGCCAGTCCTCAGGCAGAGGTGGGATGTGCGAAGGTGGGCGTTCCTGGGTCCTTCCCTAACCCAGTCTTGCTGTGTGCCCTGGCTGGCGGCCCAGGACTGCAGGCAACCAACACCTGTTCGGCTCCGGAAGCTACACTGGTTTGTCGCCCAGAACTGAGCGACAGCAAAGTGGGTCTGGATGCCAACAGCTCCCTGGGGCCGCTGCTGCAAGGGCAGCTGAGAGCAGCATTGTCCCCAGTGTGTGCCGGACACCAGGCGCTCCTGCACCCAGTCCTGAGCCACCCGGGAGCTCTGCCCCTGCCACACCCCGGCCCTGGGCCACCCCGTCCCTGCCACAGCCCGGCCCTGGGCCACCCCGTCCCTGCCACACACCAGCCCTCAGCCACCCCGTCCCTGCCACACCCCCGGCCCTGGGCCCCCCTGTCCCTGCCACACCCCCAGTCCTTGGACATCTGGGGTTGCCCCCTCCCCCTCTTCCCCCACTCACTCGTTCTTGATGAAGGCGTACTTGTTAATGGTCTCCACCACATCCTTGAAGAGGATCTTAGAGGTCAGGGTGTAGCCATGGTGCACAATGGGCTCCCCGTCAGGCCCATCCCAGCAGTCCACTGCAGATGCAGGGGGCATGGTCACCCTGGGGGCATTTGGGGTCTCGCCTGGCCCCTCCAGCCTCACTCACCCTCCACACAGCGGCAGCCAGCCTGCAGGACCCAGGCGTACATGTCCACCCGAGACTGGGACATGAGCTGGTCCCCCACCAGGTAGGTGTTATGCGAAGACGTGATGAAGTAGTGACTCAGTGGCCGCGTCATGTCCTGGTGGACGCCGTGGTGCTCTGGGTTGAAGATGTCGCCGGCCGGACTGCGAGCATAGTTGGTGAAGCCTGGCAGGGCAGGGCGAGGGTCACCCTGGGTCCACGCTGGGCCCCGCCCCGGCAACCAGGGCACATGGAGCTACAGGGGGCACATGGAGCCCCGGGGGGCACATGGAGCTACAGGGGGCACATGGAGCCCCGGGGGGCACATGGAGCTACAGGGGGCACATGGAGCTACAGGGGGCACATGGAGCCCCGGGGGGCACATGGAGCTACAGGGGGCACATGGAGCCCCGGGGGGCACATGGAGCTACAGGGGGCACATGGAGCCCCGGGGGGTCTGGGGAACCGTGTGGAGCCACGGGAGGTGTGGGGAGCAGTGGGGTGTGGTGAGCCACGGGGAACAAGGCCTGGTGGCTGCCCTTCCCCCACACTCACCATCGATGCCCAGCACCCCACGGCGCCTATTCTCTGGGCATGGCTCAAACTGCTCGATGATGTCCCGACAGCTCTCCAGGGTCACGCCCACCATCTAGGCATGAGCAGGGTCAAGCCTAGGCTAGCAGGTGCCCAGTCTGGGCCAGCCTCAGGCACCTCCACCCCACCTCTGCTCAGGCCACACAAGGGTCAGCCAGGCCAGAGCAGCTACCAAGACCCCGGGTGGTCTTCTCTGGCTGACCACTCGGACCCTTCCGCTGGACCATGCCCCCTTATGTGTCTCGAGAGACCAAGGACCTCACACACAGCCCCCTGCCCAGGGCAGCAGGGACCCAGGTCCGCACACACCCAGGACCCCTCCTAGTTGCACATCAGTAAGGATAGACTACAAAGACAAGACTGACCCCAGGACCACCCACCCCGACATGGAGTGTCAGACGACTTAACCGCTGTGTCGACACCTGTCTGGCAGTCACTGGTGCAGAGACAGACTGCCTCCAGGATTACAGAGGGACACGGGGTGCCCCACAGGGTACTCTGCCCAGCAGCTGTGGCCTTCCCCACCCCTTTTTCGCTGGCCTCCAGTTCCTGCCGCCAGAGCGGTGGTGCCCAGCCCATGTCAGGCCCCTGAGGCCGGTGAGGCAGTATCCAGAGACCACTGGGCCCCAAAGGATGGACAGGACTTCCTAGGGCCCAGGAGCCCAGGACAGAGCAGGGAAGGGCTGCTTCTTAGCAGCAGACCATGGAACCCCGGTCCGGGACCAGCAAGTGCCAGGATAAGCCGCGGTATCCCGGGCAGCACCCACAGGCCTCAGAGGAGAGAGGCAGCCGTCAGGCACAGCAGCCCTGAGCTCCAGAGACCACGAGGTGCAGGCAGCCCCACCTTCTGCTCCACCTCCAGGAAGCGCTGCAGGTCAGCCGCGTCCATGTGCTCCTTGTGGTCGCTGTAGGACAGCAGGAGCAGGTAGAGGTCCCGGCGGGTGGACATCATCTTGTAGAAGGCGCAGAACTCCTCGAAGCCCAGCGTGCCCTGGTGCTCATCCGTGTCAGCCTCCTGCAAGGCAGAGGGATGTCCCCCAAAGCCACTAGCCGGGCCCTGCGGGGCCTCCTGCCCCAGGCCAGCCTCCCCGCGCCCTGTCCTCCTGCCCCACGCCAGCCTCCCTGTGCCCTGTCCTCCTGCCCTACTCCAGCCTCCCCGTGCCCTGCCCTCCTGCCCCAGGCCAGCCTCCCCGTGCCCTGCCCTCCTGCCCCAGGCCAGCCTCCCCGTGCCCTGCCCTCCTGCCCCAGGCCAGCCTCCCCGTGCCCTGCCCTCCTGCCCCACGCCAGCCTCCCTGTGCCCTGCCCTCCTGCCCCACGCCAACCTCCCTGATGTCAACCTCAACACTGCTTTAGGGCCACTCCCTGGGCTCCTGGGCTCCCCAGGGCCTCTGCAGCCAGGGAGAGCACGCCCTCCAGAAAGCAGCCTGGCCTTCCAGGAGCAGCTGCCACCAGACCCCACAAAGCACCCCACCCTGGGGTAGGAGCGACAGCCTCACACAGGCCACATCTCACCATGGCACTAACCTCCTTTATGGGCATCAACACCCCACACTTGCCAGTGATACCCCACTCCAGAACTGCTCCTGCCAGGCTCCGTGCCATGCAGCGTCCCCAGGCCTGGGCGCTGGTGGCCAGGTCTCCTGGGTAGTGACATGTGTGCCCCCCGGGGGACACAAGGGAATCCCAGCAGTCTCAGAGCTGCCCCACCAAGGGCCAGAGCCAGGGAGGCCAGCGGCAAAGGCCAAGGTCAGGGCTGGCCCAGAGAGTGACCGGGGCTCCCGCTGTGCAGAGGGAACTCAGGGCGGCACAGGAGCCCCTCTCGAGCCACAAGGTTGGGCAGCACAGATGTGCCTTGACTGGACTTGACCAGCCTTGGGGGCCCCTCCCCTGGCCTGGGGATCCTCGTTCCTGGTCTGGGGACCCCCTTTCCTGGCCCAGGGGAGCCCCCTTCCCTGGCCCTGTAGGGTGTGGCTCAGGCGCCTTGCTGGACAGGGCCCACACACACCTGCCAGGAGGGCCGCCAGGACCTCTGGGGACCTGGCCAGGGAGCAGTCAGGCCCACTGCCCTCAGACTGCCTGCTCCCTGCACACAGCTTGTCCCGCGTGGTCCCACGTTTCCAGCCAGGAGCTTTGCTGGGCCCTTGAGCTCCAGATTCGACTTCCTGACGTGGGGACCTGGCTTGGAAGAGGGAGCAGCACCTGCCACCCCTTCCATCACCCCAGTGGCCAAGGCACTCAGGTGGCCCCTGGGGTCCTCCGGCCGGGACTGTCACCGGCTGTGGCAGGGCTCTGAGCACCCTGGTGGCCCCTGGGGTCCTCCGGCCGGGACTGTCACCGGCTGTGGCAGGGCTCTGAGCGCCCTGGTGGCCCCTGGGGTCGTCCGGCCGGGACTGTCACCGGCTGTGGCAGGGCTCTGAGCGCCCTGGAGAGCGCATCTGTGCTGGCCATGCCTCTGAGGGCAGCTCCGCACCCACATCCATGGCCAAGGGCTAGGCAGGTCAATATCAGGACAGACTGGGACAGCTGCTCCCACGTCGGCCTCAGCTTCCAGCGAGGCAGGGCAGGGCAGGGAGGTGCCTCAAGGTCCCCTCTAAACAAAGAGGACTGTGAGCAAGTCAGCTGGCGCAGCCACACCCTCTGTCCTTGTCCCCCCAGGAAAGTGTCGCTTGGGGCAGGAAGGCCCTGGCCTGTGCTCCTGGCACCATGGATATGTGGGCAGGTAGGCACCCAGTAGGACTCGTGTGTCCACACTGGAGCTGGAGAGCCACGTGCACTGGGCTACACTGCCATGGCCCCAGAGCCAGAGCCCTGACCCAGTGGCCTCAAGAAAACCCCACCATGAAATGACACAGAGGTCTGGGGCATGGCAGGCCCGGGGTACAGCAGACCAGCGCAGGGCAGGCCAGTGCAGTCGCCCTGGGGCCCTCAGTTCACACCAGGTGTCCCCTGAGGCAAGTGGGTCTGAGAGCAGGGTGTGGCCAGGCTCCAGCCTCAGGCCCACTGAGGGTTAATGAATGTACCCAGCCTTTAGTTACCCAATCCAGACCTCTGACCAGGCAATTCCAGGCAGCGGAAGTAACACCGAGATCTCTCTGTGGCCTAATTGATGCTAACTGCAGCTGACTGGCTGGCTGGAGGCCGCGCCTGACCATGCCCTGCAGGAGGTGGCCGTGCAGGTGCGCCAGGGCCAAGCTCTGTCCAGCGGCTGACCAGCATGTGCTGTCTGGGGTCCCAGTCCCATCCTTGCTCCTCCTGGAGCTGCCCCAGAACTCAGCCCACAGGGGGTCTCACCCTCTGCCCCTGGCCTCCCAGAGGCTACAGGCCGGAGTCCAGCCCTGGGCCCAGCGTCCTGCGACACAGCAGGCAGCTATGGCTGCCCTGAGCTCCTGCGCGCCAAGAGCTCAAAGTGGGACCCCCAGACTCCCAGAACCTCCGTGCACTCACACCCTCCTCCTCCAGCCTGGACCCCGCCTTCTCCGTCGTCCCTGCTCCACACAACCAGAGGACACCACGAGAGGCCGAGGGTGGGCAGGCTCAGGCCGGCACAGGCAGGGTGATGGAAGCCATGGGCCAGCCCCGTCGCCCAAGTGGGCCTTTTGGGGGTCCCAGGGCCCTGTGCAGGCCTGAGTGAGCAACCTGCCCCTTCCCCGTGCGCTGAGCTATGAGAGCACGGCCAGGAGCCTGCAGGGGCTGGACACGGCAGCCGTCGGGCTGGGGGGCGGCCTCGTGGCTCCCAGCGTCCGCTCAAGCAGGGAGTGGGATGGGAGAGGACAGCCAGGACGTCCGCACTCCGGGCGCAGCAGCTGAGCATGCCTGCCACGTCCAGGGAGCTACCGGGCACCTGGCTCCGCCCTGGGCCGGGGCCAGTGGGCGAGCTGCCCGGGCACGGCCCCGCCCCTAGGCCTGGCCCCAGCCCCGCCTACACGCCACTGGCCCCGCCCCTGCCACGCCCCACATCCCTGGCCCGCCCTCACCCTGAACATCTGCTTGGCCCGCCCCCTGGCCCTGGCCCCGCCCCCGGCCTCACCCTGAACATCTGCTTGACCCGCCCCCTGGCCCCGGCCCCGCCCCTCCCCGGCCCCGCCCTCACCCTGAACATCTGCTTGACCCGCCCCCTGGCCCTGGCCCCGCCCCGCCCCGGCCCCGCCCTCACCCTGAACATCTGCTTGACCCGCCGGCGCGGCAGGTTCACGTTGAGCTTGTGCAGCAGCTGCAGGACCTCGGCCACGCTCAGGCTGCCGTCGCCGTTCTTGTCGGCCTCGGCGAACGTCTGCTTGAGCCACGTGGGCGGGTTAGGGCCAACACGCCGAGCCGGGCCGCCCGCCAGCCCGCCCGCCGCCGAAAGGATATTGGTCGCGGGTGCGCTGGCGGCGGGCCAGGCTGTCCTCGTCGCGGATGCCGGCCAGGAGGTAGCGCAGGCCGGTGACCCAGAGCCGGGCCTCCTCGCCGCTGGCCGACACCAGGTCCAGCGACTCGCGCTGGCCGCCGTGGTAGATGCTGAAGCAGCAGCTGGGGTCGAAGGCGCCGTCGGGGTGGCGCTGGAAGATCTCGGACTGCCGGCCCTCGCTCACCTCCTGGATGGAGTCGATGGAGACTGCGGGCAGCAGGAGGGCAGGTCAGGCGCGGGGCGGCCGGCCGCGTGTCCGTGGGGCCGCGTGTCCGTGGGGCCGCGTGTCCGTGGGGCCGCGTGTCCGTGGGGCCGCGTGTCCGTGGGGCCGCGTGTCCGTCGGGGCAGGCTCGCCCACCTGAACCAGGTCCGGCCCCTCGGGCCAGGCCACGCCCGCTCGAACCAGGCCACGCCCACCTGAACCAGCCCCGCCCCTCGGGCCGACCACGCCCGCTCGAACCAGCCCCGCCCCTCGGGCCAGGCCACGCCCACTTGTCCTTTGCCGCACCCACTCGCCCCTGGTCCCGCCCATTCCCTGTTGGTCCTGCCTGCTCCCTCTTTGCCACGCCCACGCACGCTGGCCCCGCCCACTCACTCTTGGCCTTCTCGTTCTTGCGCGACGGCCGCCAGCGGATGCAGGAGCGGTGCTCATCCAGGCGGTAGACGCGGACCAGGCCCTTGGAGCTGCCGCGGAGCTTCACCAGCTGCGTCCCCTCCTGCATGGCGCGCATGCAGCGCTCCACTGCAGACGACAGAGACGCACGTGCATTGGCGCACACCCAGCTGCCCTGGGGACCCCCCCAGAACCTGCTGGCCCCGCTCAGCTGCCCGCCTGGCCCTGACGGCCTAGATCTGTGCCGGCGGCCCTCTGTCCCAGGGCAGGGGTCGGTCCAGGAGCCTGCCTTCACAGCCCACAGGGAGCGGGGCAGAGGCGGGGGCTCCGAGGAGTCAGTGTGTCCAGGAGGCCAGGCACGGAGTGGCACGGCTGGCTGGGGCATGCAGTCCCCAGCACACCGCCCTCCTGTGTGGGAAGCCTGAAGTCCCAGGGGAGAAGGTGGTCCTTGCACCCAGATTCACAGAAAGCTATGCTACCTGCCAGGGCACACAGACCCAAGAGGCCCGCTCCTGGGGGACCCCAAAATGCAGTGGGGGGAGGCAGGGGACAGGGGGAGCCCAGTCAGGGCAGGGATTGCAGCATCTGTGGTCTCTCCCTCCCATCAGCTGCTGGCCGTGTGCCCTGCCTCGCTCAAGTGACAGTAGGAGGGCCCCCGCCTGCCTCTGCGGTCCCTATGCTGGCCAGCCCTGGCTGGGCTGACAGCAGCCCATGTCCCCACCCAGCACACCCAGGTGGGGCCTGTCAAGCCTCCCCCTACCCCGGGTTCAACCCCATGCCCCCCGAGAAGCAGAGAAGAGCCCAGAGGTGGTGCCGGGTGAGAGGGAGGACCCCAGCCCCCCCTCGGCCCCCTCGGCAGGGACCAGGCCAAGCCTTCTTACCCAGCAGGCCAGGCAGCCCCTGTGGAGACACCACCACGCTGCCCCCCGCCCACAGCAACGCCTCAGCCAGGCAGGCCACCGCCCCCTTGGTCAGGCTGGCCGTGGATGGCCAGGGGCTGGGCATTCCCGGGGAGGGGTGCGGCGAGCAGGGACCAGGGCCCTGCCCCAGCTGCAGCACTGCGTCAGCCAGCAGCCCCTTCTCTGCTCTGCCTCCTCTCCCTGCACAAGGAGCCGGAAGCCCCTGCCCAGGAGCACCTGGCATTGGCCCAACTGCTCTCTGCTGCCTGTGACAGCACCCAGGCCAGCCACCCACCCTCCCAGGCCACAAGGGGTCCCCGAGAGGTCGTGTGCCAGGACTGGCAGGCAACCAGGCTGCAGCCCCACCCACCCTGAGGCACAATCCCCACGCTAATCCCAGCTGGCCGGCCCACTGGCCAAGGGATTTAGGCCTGGGAGCTTCCAGCAGGGGACCAGAAGGACCAGGGAGGTTGCGGGGTCATCTGAGGCCCCGGGCGAGCAGAGCCACGCCGGACACTAGGCAGAGGCAGGGCGGACACAGGCGCAGTGGTGGGCACGGGCAGAGCTTACTCACAGGCCCCAGGCATGCCAGGCCTCCGGGGGTCCTGCCCTTGCTGGGCGCCCATGCCAGACCAGCCACTGCTCCCACACCACGCCCCCTTACACTTGGGGTTCCCCTGGGGGTTCCCGCAGGCTGGATAGCAGCAGTCGCCATGCAGGCCAATCTGTCATGGAGGCCACAGCCTGCCCTGGCCAGCTCAGAAGGGTGGACGCAGCTTGGTGGGGAGGGGGCCATGTGGGAGGGACAGTGTGCGGGGGAGGGGGCTATGTAGAGATGACCAATGTGGGGGGGGCCACGTGGGGAGGGATAGTGTATGGGGGAGGGGGCCATGTGGGGAGGGACAGTGTGCGGGGGAGGGGCCCACCAGAAAAGCAGGGGTGTTGACGCTGAGGCCATGGCCAGCCCTGTCCCCTCACACCAGCCAGGCCCACCGGTGAGCCCACACCACTGACCTTGGTGAGTGCCACGGTCCCTGGCCCTCACATCTGTCCCAGGCAGCAGGAAGCCACAGAGTGGCAGCACCCTGCTTGTCTGACCAAAACCAACTCAAATCAGCCAGAACCCAATGCAGCTGCTACTGGCTGGGCACTTCCCATGGGATTGTATCAGGGGGCCAGTGCCCGCCGGGAGAGGACACTGCTGCCCAGGGCAGCCGGGAGAGGGCACAACCACCCCGGCAGGCTGGGAGAGGGCACGGCCGCCCTGGCCGGGAGAGGGCACGGCTGCCCTGGCCAGGAGAAGGCACGGCCGCCCTGGCTGGGAGAGGACACTGCTGCCCAGGGCAGCCGGGAGAGGGCACAACCACCCCGGCAGGCTGGGAGAGGGCACGGCCGCCCTGGCCGGGAGAGGGCACGGCTGCCCTGGCCAGGAGAAGGCACGGCCGCCCTGGCTGGGAGAGGACACTGCTGCCCAGGGCAGCCGGGAGAGGGCACAACCACCCCGGCAGGCTGGGAGAGGGCATGGCCGCCCTGGCCAGCCGGGAGAGGGCACTACGTAGACGTCCCCAGGGAGAGATCAGACTCACTGGACCCCATGGCAGTGCTGAGCCCACACAACTCCATCTGCCAGCCTGATGCCCTGCTTGAGGGGCACTGCTCCACGAAAGGGGTCATGCCCCCCTTCCCCAGCTGAGTAGTGAGGGGTGCCATGTGGCCTCACCATGGTCCTGGCTAGGGGGCTCACACCTGCTCACTCCTCCTCACAGCCCCTCAAGGCCCACTGTCCTTCCCAGCTGGGGGTGGGCAGGGACCCATCTGCCTGCCCAGGGGTCCCTGCCCTCAAGCCTAATCCTCTGCTGACCACACGGCTGCAGGCAGCTAACCCCAATACCCCCGTGGCCTTCTGTGTGGAGGGCACCCCAGCCTGTTGGATTCAGCCGGCTCCATGCCTGACGTGAAGGGACGTGGCACAGAAAGGGCAGGAAGGGACACGGGTCAGGCCCCTCGGCTCGGTCTGTGGCCTGAGCTGGACCGCTGACCACTTCAGCCGGGCCCTGGAGGTGAGGGAAGCAGCTCTTCCAAGCCGTGCCTCCACCTCACGCTGTCAGGGACAGCTGAATCCCACCACGAAACCCTCGCCAAGCCAGGGCTGCCAGAGCCTGCCCTGGCACAGTAGGCCCCGCAGCCCGTGCCAGCACTCGCAGGGGCCACACTCTCCCCAGGGAGGCAGGAAAGGCAATGCCAGCTTCTGACAACCCTGGCAGGACGCATGGCTCCCGCGTCCCCAAGAGTCGCAGCCCTGCCTGCTGTCCTCACACTTAGACGCACACAGAGTATGGAGCATGGAGCACGGAGCAGGGAGCACGGAGCACAGAGCAGGGCCACACGGAGCAGGGAGCAGGGCTGCACGGAGCACGGAGCAGGGAGCATGGAGCATGGAGCACGGAGCACGGCCGCAGGGAGCACGGAGCACGGAGCAGGGAGCAGGGCCGCACGGAGCAGGGCCGCAGGGAGCACAGAGCACGGAGCAGGGCCGCAGGGAGCACGGAGCACGGAGCACAGAGCAGGGCCGCAGGGAGCACGGAGCACGGAGCACAGAGCAGGGCTGCAGGGAGCACGGCCACACGGAGCACTAGACGGGACAGCTAGAACCCCCGTGCCCCCTCGAGGCCCCTTTCTCTCCTAATGCCCCTCACTTCTCTGAAGCACTCGTCCATGCTCAGCAGCAGGGGGCACTCAGGCAGACTCCACAGACAACCACAGGCCCTGCCTAACTATTGGGAAGCCAGTGCATCCCATCCCCGTACTCTGTTCTTCCGGGCTCAGCTCAGCATACAGTGGGTGCTCAGACTGAACCCTAGCAGCACAAGTAGGCGCTCAGATATGCCCTGGGCTGCAAGCACTCATGCTGTGCTCTGGGCTGTATGCAGTAGGTGCTCAGGCTGTGTCCTGGGCTGTACGCAGTAGGTGCTCAGGCTGTGTCCTGGGCTGTACACAGTAGGCGCTCAGGCTGTGCCCTGGGCTGCAAGCACTCATGCTGTGCTCTGGGCTGTATGCAGTAGGTGCTCAGGCTGTGTCCTGGGCTGTACGCAGTAGGTGCTCAGGCTGTGCCCTGGGCTGTACGCAGTAGGCGCTCAGGCTGTGTCCTGGGCTGTACGCAGTAGGCGCTCAGGCTGTGTCCTGGGCTGTACGCAGTAGGCGCTCAGGCTGTGTCCTGGGCTGTACGCAGTAGGCGCTCAGGCTGTGTCCTGGGCTGTACGCAGTAGGCGCTCAGGCTGTGTCCTGGGCTGTACGCAGTAGGCGCTCAGGCTGTGTCCTGGGCTGTACGCAGTAAACATTCAGGCTGTGCCCTGGGCTCTATGCAACAGGCACTCAGGCTGTGTCCTGGGCTGTACGCAGTAGGCACTCAGGCTGTGTCCTGGGCTGTACACAGTAGGCGCTCAGGCTGTGTCCTGGGCTGTATGCAGTAGACGCTCAGGCTGTGTCCTGGGCTGTACGCAGTAGGCGCTCAGGCTGTGCCCTGGGCTGCAAGCACTCAGGCTGTGTCCTGGGCTGTACGCAGTAGGCGCTCAGGCTGTGCCCTGGGCTGCAAGCACTCAGGCTGTGTCCTGGGCTGTACGCAGTAGGCGCTCAGGCTGTGTCCTGGGCTGTATGCAGTAGGCGCTCAGGCTGTGCTCTGGGCTGTACACAGTAGGCGCTCAGGCTGTGCCCTGGGCTGTACACAGTAGGCGCTCAGGCTGTGCCCTGGGCTGCAAGCACTCAGGCTGTGTCCTGGGCTGTGTGCAGTAAACACTCAGGCTGTGCTCTGGGCTGTACACAGTAGGCGCTCAGGCTGTGCTCTGGGCTGTATGCAGTAGGTGCTCAGGCTGTGTCCTGGGCTGTACGCAGTAGGTGCTCAGGCTGTGTCCTGGGCTGTACACAGTAGGCACTCAGGCTGTGTCCTGGGCTGCAAGCACTCAGGCTGTGTCCTGGGCTGTATGCAGTAGGCGCTCAGGCTGTGCCCTGGGCTGTGTGCAGTAGGCGCTCAGGCTGTGTCCTGGGCTGTACACAGTAGGCGCTCAGGCTGTGTCCTGGGCTGTACGCAGTAGGTGCTCAGGCTGTGTCCTGGGCTGTACGCAGTAGGTGCTCAGGCTGTGTCCTGGGCTGTACACAGTAGGCGCTCAGGCTGTGTCCTGGGCTGCAAGCACTCAGGCTGTGTCCTGGCCTGTACGCAGTAGGTGCTCAGGCTGTGTCCTGGGCTGCAAGCACTCAGGCTGTGTCCTGGGCTGTACGCAGTAGGTGCTCAGGCTGTGTCCTGGGCTGCAAGCACTCAGGCTGTGTCCTGGGCTGTATGCAGTAGGCGCTCAGGCTGTGTCCTGGGCTGTGTGCAGTAGGTGCTCAGGCTGTGCTCTGGGCTGTATGCAGGTGGCATCATGGTGCTGCATCGACAGGAGGACGTGGCCCCAGGCCCACACACGAATGGCCTGATTTGGACATCAGCGAGAAGCTGCTCGGCCTTTTCCTTCCTCCAGGAGTGAGTTGGCTGCCCGCCTCCCCAGGAGCGCCCAGGGGTCTGAGCCAGCCTTGGGGTCCCAGGGCGGGTGCCAGAGCTGATGGGGTGCTGGGGTCCCAGGGCAGGTGCCAGAGCTGATGGGGTGCTGGGGTCCCTGGGTGGGTGCCGAAGGGGTGAGGGAGATGCCGCCGTCGGTGGAGGTCCAGGTGGGCAGGGCAGGGCAGGGGTCGCCGGACGTATGGACCTCTGCATTGGCTCCGGGGAGGCCAGCACAGCCCCCTCCTCTGGCCCACCCCTGGCACGGCCCTGGACGGCAGGGCCAGAGCAGCCTGGCCCGAGCCCAGCCTGGTGCAGTGCCCAGCTGGGGTGGACGACAACATCGGCAGTGGCTGAGGCCTGGGGCGTGCGGTCACAGTGGCTGCACCAGGTGGCGGGAACCCTGGCCCCACGCACGGCAATGGCTAGATGCCCTGGCGGCAGCCAGTGGACGGTACACGGGGAAGGCCGCCCCCACCCCGACGCCTGCCTCGCTGGGTCGTCCCCAGCTGGCTGGTGGCACATGGCACCTGGCTCTCGGGGTGCTAATCATAACGACTATTAATAGACCACTTCACAGCTCCCAGCCTCGGGCCCCTGGGCCGGCCGCACACCAGCCCCTCCCTCAGGGCCATCGGCTGGCCTGGGCTCTCGGAAGATGCGGCCTGTGCAAGGACAGAACCCCCGACGCTCCCGGGGAGCCGGAGGGCAGCGAGGTCCGGATGGCCACCAGGGGGCGCGGTCTTTCCTAAAAAGCCACCAGATGGAGCCCCAAGGGGGGCGGACGAGGTGGGGGGTTCCCCTCCCTCCATCCCGCATGGACCCCGAGCCCTGGCCAGAACAGCAGGTGCTCAGGGCAGTGGCAACTGGCAGGACTGGGCAGGTAGTGAGAGTGGAATTATGGAGGGACAGGATGCACTCGGGGCTGGGCGGCACCCACAGCCTGCAGCCACCTCAGCACCAGCTCGGCCATGGGGACTCCATCAGGGAGCTGCAGATGGACACTGCTCGTGAAGGATGCTGGCCTCCGAGTCCCACGTGGGGACATGCCCTCCCGCGCCACCCTCACACCCCCACTGAGCAGGAGCAGTACGGGCCCTAAGGGTGACGGCCGGGGGTGGCGTGTGCCACGGGCCTGGGCCTGACCCGGGAGCCAGCTCACAGCCCTCAACTGGCCCACCCTGGGGAGAGTGCAGTGCCCACCACCTCTGCCCACCTCCTCACCCATGCAGCAGAAAGTTCTGCCTGCTGTCAGGCCCGGGTCACTCCCGCTGCAGCTGCTGTCACGCGCCCCCTCCACCCTCTGGCTGGAAGGACTACCCCTCGCCCAGAACTGAAGCCCCAGGCCCCTCTCCTCCCCGGCCCGTGCCGCCCACTGCTTCCCAGGTCCACAGGATGTGGCTGAGCCGTGGCTGCAGAGCACCCTAACCCCAGGGCGCCCCAGCAAACTGCACCCCCCAAGGGAAGCCGTGGCTGCCCTGTCCATGGTGCTGACCGCAGGGCTGCCAGCTGACACCTCCTCCCACCTCCCACCACGGAGCAGGCACAGGGAGTGGGGCAGGGTCCCTGCTCCCAGAGACCCCTGAGGAAGGTGTCCAGTGCCTGCCAGCTGTCCCCGGCTCACAACCCCCATCCCCTCACCTTGGTCCTGGCTGAGCCCACCAGGGGGCTCCGGCTCTTCCATTGCCCTCAGGTGCCAGTCCTGCTGTTACTCCCACTGCAGCCCACCAGAGCCAGGATGGAGCTCCGGCCCTGGGCACAGTGCCCATACTGGGGGCCCAAGCCTGCTGGCCGCAGCAGCGCCACCGTCGCCCGCCAAGGAGGACCGGGGAGGGGCAGGGCGGGGTGAGGCTGCTGAGGGCCCGCCTTCCCACAGGAGCCCCGCCTGCCCTTAACTCGCAGCAGCCCGGCTGCCGGCTCCAGGCTACCGGGCAGAAGCAGCACCTTCCTGGGGCTTGGGGGGTTGGCCTGGGGTGGACACAGAGCCAACTCCACTCAGAGGCCACAAGTGCAGGTGGTCCTGGGCGCTGATCATCCCTCCCTCCCGCCAGTCCTACCAGAGGTGGGGTGGGAGCTCAGTGGCCCCCCAAACCTCACACACCCTGGGGTGGGAGCAGGACAAGACAGCCCTCGGGGTGACCTAGGAGCTTCTCACAGGGTCCTGCCACCCGGGCACCCCACTATCTGCTTGCAGCTGCAGGGCCGGGGTCGGCGGGGCCGTGAGAGGAGTCCTGCCAGGCGCACCCTGGTCTGTATTTGGTGGCACCAACCAGTGTTCCCTGGCAAAGCCAACTCCTAACGGGCAGGGACAACATGTCCTGGGCAATGGGATACGGCTGCGGGGGGCTTCGTCAGGCGGGGTGCCGTGTACCTCACTCCAGTCCCCCGAGGGACGTGACCCAGGGTCCCACAGGGCAGCCTGCAGGAGGTGACCCGGGGTCCCACAGGGCAGCCTGCGGGAGGTGACCCGGGGTCCCACAGGGCAGCCTGCGGGAGGTGACCCGGGGTCCCACAGGGCAGCCTGCGGGAGGTGACCCATCGTCCCACAGGGCAGCCTGCGGGAGGTTGCTTGGGCCACGGGGACCATGGAGTGGGGAAAGGTGGGCAGGTGGCCGGCCCAGCAGGAGGCCTGGGGTGGCCTCAGGCTCCCAGAGCCGCGGACACCTCCCAGGGTGACACCTCCTACCAGGTGACGGCCATGGATTAGCCACCGCCAGCCCCTGCCCGGGACAGAGCCCTGGGCACCACCGCTCGGCATCCTCACCCCTCCCTCCACTGCCTTCCCTGGGGGTCTCTCCTGGCCACGGCAGCGCAGGGTGCTGGAGCTGAGGGGGGCATGGATGCACAGTGCACGGGGCTCCCAGCACCCCGACCCCCAACCTCCAATAGGAGAGACGGAGGTGAGGAAGGAGGCGGGGCACAGGCAGATCCCCGGGCGTGAAGCGGGCGCAGACAGGCCAGGGGGGTCGGGGGACGGGGCCCAGGCTGCGGCCCTGCCGTGGACAGAAGGCCCCTGGGCCTCCCCCGGGGGAAGTGGGGTGAAACCCAAGTTCAGGTCCTCATGAATAATCCCCGCCCTCGCACACAGCCGGAGCCGATTTCCACACGGCGGTGATTAACGCCACGCGCCACACATGGGAATGTGCTGATCCAACGTCCTCCCCAGACATTCCGGCAGTTCCGTCTCCGAGCAATTGGCCCGGCGGAAGCAGCTGGGCCACAGGCACGCTGCCAGGTGACCGCCACACCCTCGGGCCCAGAGCTGCCCTCCCAGACCCGGTGCCACCCACCGGACTCCACTGCCTCCTGCGGGCTATCTGGACCCCCGACCTCCCAGGACACCCCACAGGGGCTCATGGGCAATGCCGAGCTCGCAGCCGGAGGGTGCTCCACCCCTCAACGCCATCCACGGCTACTCCGGAGCTAGCCACCCCACGGGAGGGAGCTGAACGACCCTGCACCCCGAAACAGGCGTGAGGCTGCAGGGAGGGTCTGCAGCAGGACACGGCCCACCTTTTGCCTCGGTCTCCCCACTGTTTGCCAGCTCATATGCTCCCCACGGCACAGTCCTGGCAGCCATGCAGCCACCCACCCACTGCACTCGGCACTGCCCCTTCTGCCACCCCCCAGGTCTCCAATCTTCTCAGCTGCAGGGCTACCACGCCCTGGGCACAGAGGGGACACGAGGGTGGAACAAGCAGGGGGAGGGGTCCCCGTGGGGCCAGGGGAGGAGTGGAGATGGACCTTGGGGCCAGGCGAGTGGCCACCACCAGCCCAGAGCCGGGTGGGCCCAGCCAGGGCCCTGGACTGTGGAGCCAGGGAAGAGGTGGGAGAGGATTGGAGTGGAGGCGCAGCAGGGAGAGGAGCTTCCGCAGGCTCTGGTCTGAGTCAGGTGCCCAGGGCCAGGCCCAACGCAGGCTACCGCCTGCACGCCCCACGTCCGGCCCACGGCCTCCACGGCCACCACCTGCTGAGCAGCGCCAGGAGGGGTCCTGGCCACGGTCAGCAGCCAGGGTACCTCTCTCCCAACCCCTGCTGAGGCCGCAGCCGCCCGCACCGCCTGCCGCACAGCCTGACCTAGATTCCACGCTGGCGTGCAGCAGCCAAGCGCCCCCGGCCGCCTGGCGCAGCACACCGGGCCCAGGCCCCGCCTTCCCAGTGCCTCCTCCGGTGGGACCCCAGCCCCGAAAACTGATGGGAGGATGGAAAGGGAAGATGAAGGCGGCCCTGCTGGTGGGGAGGGTGGCCATGGGGGGGTCGCAGGTTTGGGTGAGCCCTGCCAGGTCCCCCATCCCAGTCTGCACCCCCAGCCCTTGTCCCCAGCCTGAGCCGCACCAGCTCCTCACAAACAGAACACAACACCCCCCGTAATAGCGGAGCCTGAAATAGTGTGACAATGCACCGCTCTGGATCGGCCTGACTCAAACACAGCTGCAAGTCGGTAAAAATACACTCGCAGGCGCTGGCTGAGCTCACGTGCACACACGCTCCCACGCAGGCACACACTCCACAGGTGTGGCGGGGCTCCTCACCCGGAGGGGCATGGGAGCCAGGAGGTCTTCCCGGCCCCCCTGCCCTGTGGGAACAGCCATGCCAGAGCCAGAACCTCTGCACTGAGGGGGCTGTGGCTTGGGAGACACACTGGGCAGCGGGCAGCTCCTGCCCTGCAGAGGGGGCGAGGCTGGGCAGGCAGCAGGTCCCTGAGGGTGCTGCCCAGTGGACCACGGCAGGAAGGCCCCTGAGCCACAGCCTCACGCAGTCAGCATTCCATGGGGGCTGCCTCAGTTAACCCTCGGAATGGTCTAGGCTGCGTCTGCAGATCACTGCGCCCCAGCCCCAGCTTGCCCATCCTTAAAATGGGGCCACAGCAGGGGGAGTAGTGCCCACTGGGGTACAAGGCAGACCCTGAGCCACGGCCCCCACACTGTCTGTGAGCCACAGGAAGATGGGGCCCCCTGAGACATCGCGGCCATAGCTGGGGGCAGGGCTGACCGGGCAGGGAATGGTGAAGGGAGCACCCAAGGGAGATGCCCCACCAAGGTCTAGGTGCACGAGAAGAGGCAGCACGGCCCCGGCCAGCCTGTGTGAGTGGTCAGAGGGGCCAGCGGCAGCCGCCTACTGGATGCCCTCGAGGCTGACCTGCCCGGCGTTGGGAGGACGGGGAGCTGGCCACCCCAGCCTGGGAGGGGAGCTCGAGTCCCGTCTGGGGTGGGGAGCCACAGCTGAGCGGCCCTGGTGCCTGTGAATTATTCAGGCCCCTCCTCGCACTGGCCACGTTCCGGGAAGCAGCCGCGGACACAGGCCTCAAAGGCCAGCCTGCCCAGCCCCGGCCTCCTGCTGCCCCTGGGGCCGGATCTGGCGGCCGCTGGCTCCCAGTAGCTGCTGCGTTGGAGCCATGCTGAGGCACTTTCATGGGGCTGAGCTGGGGAGCAGAGGACCAGGCCTGGGCACCCTTGGGGGCCTCCGGTTGGTCGGCTCCCTGAGGAACAACCACCCCCTGCCCTCCTCTGGCAGCCTGACCCTCCAGCCTCAACTGCCCACTGCTATCGGGGGGTAGGTGGGAAGGGAGCCCCTCCTGCTGGGCCCACAGCCCCAGTCACACCCCACCCTGGGAGGGGCCTGGTTCTCGGCCTTCCCTACAGGACCAAGTTCCCTCACCAAAGCCACCTGCCCAGGCCCTGCAATGTAGGCCCGGCCAGCCCCGGAGCCCCCTAGGGCTGCTCAGCCATAGTCATGGGGGTCAGGTGAAGCTGGCACTCACAGGGTGGCCCCGGCTGCCCGGCACAAGGCTGGGACACGGGGCAATACCACCTCCCTGCCTGCCCTCAGGTGTGGCTACACCTCAGCCTGCTGCTGAGGGCCACGTGCCGTGGACTCCCTGAGACCCTCAGGAGGCCCTGACGCACGGCTACAAAGAACCACACCCTGAGCTGTGCGGGGGTCTCGGGTTGAGCCTGGGGACTCGGAGGCCACCTGCACAGCACCCAGCCCGACGCTTGGAGAACTCATGTGCCATCGACAGCTCTCGCGGACCCCCCACCTCAGGCAGCCTGGACACTGGCCACCCTAAGGCAACTGCAGGCTGGCGCTGGTGGTAGTGCAGCGACTGCAAAGGGGTCCCTTGGGTCCCTGTGGGGGTTGCCCCGGCCACCACAAACATTGCTTCACGGAGGATAGGTGGTCTGACCAGAGTCCCTGCACCTGTGCGACGACACACTGATGTCTGCCAGATCCAAGTATCCAGGCCAGGCCAGTCGGCCACACTCACCAGGTGGTTGGCCACACCCACCAAAACTGTAGCCACACCTACCATGTGGTCAGTCACACCCACCAGGCCTGTAGCTACACCTACCAGGTGGTCAGTCACACCCACCAGGCCTGTAGTCACACCCACCATGTGGTCAGCCACACCCACCAGACCTGTAGCCACACCCACCAGACCTGTAGCCACACCCACCATGTGGTCAGTCACACCCACCAGGCCTGTAGCTACACCTACCAGGCCTGTAGCCACACCCACCAGGCCTGTAGTCACACCCACCATGTGGTCAGCCACACCCACCAGGCCTGTAGCTACACCTACCAGGCCTGTAGCCACACCCACCAGGTAGTCAGTCACACCCACCAGGCCTGTAGCCACACTCACCATGTGGTCACTCACACCCACCAGGTCAGCCGCACCTA